GTGATCAGTGTTTAATCAGCGACACGCGTAGCTTACACGCGTCAAGCAACGCAACGCTCTTGTGAGCGGCCTGAATACCAAGGAAGCGCTCGTTCCGCAGGTCTGGGCGCCCAGGCCAGCGCAGGCCGCCGCCTTCCCAAAGCGAAAGGCCGCGTCACGTCGGCCGCCGCTGCCGTGAAGAAGACGGCCTGGCGTCCTCCGCGCGGCGCTAAGCTTCCGCTTCTTCCTCGTCGTCTGTCGATCGGACGTCGCCGGCGGCGGCAGCGGGCAGCGCGGCGGCGGCCGGCTGCGCAAGCGCGTCGGGCGGCCGCCGGCAGCGCAAGCAGCCGCCGGCGGCGCCGTCCCGCCACCTCCGCCTCCGCCCCCCCAAGAAGAAGGCAACCGCCGCCCGCGCACGCCCAGCAGCAGCAGGCGGCGAGGCACAAGGCGCCCGCCCAGCCCGCACGCGCGCGCCGTTGCCAAGGTGAGACTCCTCGAATGTTCTTCTCGGATGGGAGGCATGGATCCAGAAGTCATCATGTTTCGCAGTTGGAATCACTTACTCAGGATTCGCATCGATTATCTTCAATACCGGCCGATATCTTAAAGAACATCAATATTTCGAATTTCCTCATTATTTCGAATTGCCCCTTATATCGAATTCCCGTTATCTCGAATTGCGATATTTCGATATTTGAATTCCACCGATATTATTCAATTCGCCGAATTTCGAGTTTCCAACGAGATATTACGAATTCCCCGATAATTTCGAAATACCGCAATATTTCGAATTCCCCCGATATTTCGAATTCCCCGAATATTTTCGAAATTCCCCGATATTTCGAATTCCCTGGAATATTTCGAAATCCCCTATATATGGAATCCCGCTATTTTGGAATTCCGCGCTATTTGGATTCCCGCTATTTGGAATTCCCGCTATTTGGCATTCTGGCTAATTTGGGAATTTTACCGGCTATTTCCAAATTAACGCGCTATTTCCAATTAACCTATTTCATTTTAACCGATATTTCGAATTTACCGCTATTTCGAATTAACGCTACTTCTAATTTAAAGTTATTTTCCATTTTAACGCATATTTCCTTTTACGGCTATTTCCCATTTAACGCTATTTCGAACTTACGCCTATTTACGTGTTTAACCTATTTCAGTTTAACGTTATTTCCAATTGAAACGCTATTTCTAGGATTTAGACGCTATTTCCAATTTAACGATATTTCCAATTTTCCGCTATTTTCCGAATTCACGCTTTTTTCCATTTAACGCTATTTTCAGTTTTAACGTATTTCCAATTTAAACAGAATTTTCAAGTTACCGGCTTTTCGAATTTAACGCTATTTTTCCATTTAACGGCTATTTCTTCTAGTTACGCTATTTTCAGTTTAACGCTATTTTCAGTTTAACGGCTATTGTTTGCAATTTAACCGCTATTTCCAATTAAACGCTATTTCCAATTGGAAACGCTATTTCGAATTTACCACCGCCATTTCGAATTTACCGCATTTCGCCTTTACCCGCTCTTTCGGAATATACACTATTTGCCATTTAAATCGTTATTTCGAAATTAACGCTATTTTCCGTTTAACGCTATTTTCAGTTTAAACGGCTATTTCGAAAAATTAACTGCTATTTCAGTTTAACGCTATTTTCAAATTAACGCTTTTTCCAGTTTTAACGCTTTTTTCCAGTTTAACGCTATTTCCAGTTTAACGCTATTTTCCAGGTTTTCACGCTATTTCCAGTTTTAACGGCTATTTCCAGTTTAACGCTCTTCACTTTAACCGTATTTCAAAATAACGCCTATTTCCATTTAACGCTATTTCCAATTTAACGCGCTAATTTCCAATTTTAACGCTATTTCCAATTTAAACGCTATTTCGAATTTACAGCCAATTTCGGAATTTACCGCTATTTCGAATATAACACTATTTCCAATTTAAAACGTTATATCTGAAATTAACGCTATTTTCCGTTTTAACGCTATGTTCCGTTTAGAACACGCTATTTTCCAGTTTAAAGCTACTTCCAGTTTAACGGCTATTTCCAGTTAACACTATTTTCAATTAAACGCTATTTTCAAGTTTAACAACTATTTCCAATTTAACGCTAATTTCCAATTTATACGCTATTTCTTTTTTACGGCTATTTCCCAGTTTAACGGCTATTTCCAGTTTAACAGCTATATCCAGTTTAACGGCTACCTTTCCAGTTTACCGCTATCTCGAATTTAACACTATTTTCAAGTTTAACGCTATTTCAATTTATCGCTATTTCAGTTTAACGCTATTTCAGTATTATTCGCTATTTCCAGTTTAAACGCTTATTTCCAGTTTAAACGGGCTATTTTTCCAGTTTACGCCTTTTTCGAATTTAACGCTATTTCCAGTTTAAGAACGCTATTTCAGTTTACGCTATAATCCAGTTTAACGCTATTTCGTCAGTTACCGCTATTTCCGATATTTAACACTTATTTTCAGTTTAACGCTATTTTCAATTTAACCGCTATTTCCAAGTTTAACGCTTTTTCCAGTTTTTAACGCTATTTCCCGAGTTTAACGCTATTTCCAGTTTCACAGCTATTTCCAGTTTAAGCGCTATTTTCCACTTTAACGCCTATTTTCATTTAAACGCTTTCCGGCATTTAACGCTATTCCGGGATTCCGCTATTTCCAATTCCACGCTATTTTTCCATTTAGCACTATTTTCAGTCTTAAAAGCTAAATTTCGAAATTATACGCTATTTTCCAGTTACACGGGTCTTTTCCAATTTAAGCGCCATTTCCGTTTTAACTGCTATTTTTAGTTCAGACGCATTTCCATTTAACGCCCTTTTTGCCACGTTTAACGCTATTTTTCCAATTTAACGCTGATTTCCCAATTTAACGCTATTTCATTTTAACGACTATTTCTATTTTTAACGATATTTCCATTTAACGCAATTTCCAATTTAAATCATTCCAATTTAAAGCTATTTCGAATTGAAAGCTATTTCGAATTTAACGCTATTTCCAATTTAACGCTATTCCAATTTAACGGGGCTAATTTCCAATTAACGCTATTTCAACATTTAACGGCTATTTTTCAATTTACCTGCGCTGTTTTAAATTTAATCGCTATTTCAATTAAACGCTATTTCCAAATTTAACGTTATTTTCGAAATTAACGCTATTTTTTCAGTTTAACGCTATTTAACAGTTAACGCTATTTTTCAAAAACTGCTCCTTGAATTTAACGTAATTTCGGATTTTAACGCTATTTCTATTTAAACACTATTTCCAATTTAACGATATTTTAATTTAAGGGTATCCCAATTTAACGCAATTTCCAATTTAACCGCTATTTCGAATTTAACACTATTTTCCATTTAACGCTGTTTTCAGTTTTAAACGCTAAATTTCGAAATTAAAGCTATAGTCATCTTTAATGCTATTTTTCAACTTAACGCTATTTCCAGTTTTAACGCCTATTCCAGTTTAACGCCTATTTTCAGTTAACGCTATTTTTGGCAATTTAACGCTATTTCCAATTTAACGCTAATAATCCAACTTGAAACGCTATTTTCGAATTTACCGCCATTTCGAATGTTTACGCGCTATTTCTGCATTTACCGCCTATTTCGAATATAACACTATTTCCAAATTTAAACGTTATTTCGAAATTAACGCTATTTTCGTTTAACAGCTATTTTCAGTTTTTAAAACGCTATTTCGAAATTAACGCTATTTTTTTCGTTTAACGCTATTTCAAATTAACGCTTTTCCAGTTTAACAGCTTTTTCGCAGTTTAACGCTTTTCCAGTTTTTAACGCTATTTCAGTCAGTTTAACGCTATTTCCAGTTTAACGCTATTTCCAGTTTAACGCTATTTCCAGTTTAACGCTATTTCGAAATTAACACTATTTTCAGTTTAACGCTATTTTCAATATTACGCTATTTTCAGTTTAACGCTATTTCCAGTTTAACGCTATTTCCAGTTTAACGCTTTTTCCAGTTTAACGCTATTTCTAGTTTAACGCTATTTCAAGTTTAACGCTATTTCCAATTTTACGCTATTTCCAATTTAACGCTATTTTCAATTGAACGCTATTTCCAATTGAACGCTATTTCGAATTTACCGCTATTTCGAATTTACCGCTTTTTCGAATATAACACTATTTCCAATTTAACGTTATTTCGAAATTAACGCTATTTTCCGTTTAACGCTATTTTCCGTTTAACGCTATTTTCCGTTTAACGCTATTTTCAGTTAAACGTTATTTCCAGTTTAACGCTATTTTCAATTTAACGTTATTTCGAATTTAACTCTATTTCGAATTAACGCTATTTCCCATTTAACGCTATTTCCAATTTACAGCTATTTCCAATTTAACGCAATTTTCCTTTTAACGCTATTTTCAGTTTAAACGCTATTTCGAAATTAACGCTATTTTCAGTTTAACTCTATTTTCAATTTAACGCTTTTTCCAGTTGAACGCTATTTCGAAATTAACATTATTTTCAATTTAACGCTATTTCCAGTTTAACGCTATTTCCAGTTTAACGCTATTTCCAGTTTAACGCTATTTCCAGTTTAACGCTTTTTCCAGTTTAACGCTTTTTCCAGTTTAACGCTATTTCCAGTTTAACGCTATTTCTAGTTTAACGCTATTTCAAGTTTAACGCTATTTCCAATTTAACGCTATTTTCAATTTAACGCTTTTTCCGATTTAACGCTATTTCCAATTTAACGCTATTTCCAATATACCGCTATTTTAAATTTAACGCTATTTCCAATTAAACGCTATTTCGAATTTAACGCTATTTTAGTTTAAAGCTATTTCCGATTTAACGCTATTTCCGATTTACCGCTATTTCCAATTTAACGCTATTTCCATTTAACACTATTTTCAGTTTAAAGCTATTTCGAAATTAACGCTATTTTCAGTTTAACGGTCTTTTCAATTTAACGCCATTTCCAGTTTAAAGCTATTTTCAGTTCAACGCAATTTCTATTTTAACGCTTTTTCCAGTTTAACGCTATTTCCAATTTAACGCTATTTCCAATTTAACGCTATTTCCAATTTAACGCTATTTCCAATTTAACGCTATTTCCATTTTAACGCTATTTCTATATTAACGATATTTCCATTTTAACGCAATTTCCAATTTAACATCATTTCCAATTTAGCGCTATTTCGAATTTAAAGCTATTTCGAATTTAACGCTATTTCCAATTTAACGATATTTCTAATTTAACCGTATATCCAATTTAACGCAATTTCCAATTTACCGCTATTTCGAATTTAACACTATTTTCCATTAACGCTGTTTTCAGTTTTAACGCTATTTCGAAATTAAAGCTATAGTCATTTTAACGCTATTTTCAACTTAACGCTATTTCCAGTTTAACACTATTTCCAGTTTAACGCTATTTCCAGTTTAACGCTATTTCCAGTTTAACGCTATTTCCAGTTTAACGCTATTTCAAGTTTAACGCTATTTCCAGGTTAACGCTATTTTCAATTTAACTCTATTTCAAATTTAACACTATTTCCAATTTAACGCTATTTCGAATTGAACACTATTTCCAAATTGACGTTATTTCCAATTTGACGCTATTTTCGATTTAACGCTATTTCCAATTTAACGCTATTTTCAATTTGACGCTATTTCCAATTTCACGTATATCCAATTTAACGGTATTTCCGATTTAATGCTATTTTCCATTTAACGCTATATTCAATTTTAACGCTAATTCGAAATTAGCGCTATTTTCAGATTAACGCTATTTTCAGTTTAACTCTATTTTTAATTTAACGCTATTTCCAGTTTAACGCTATTTCCAGTTTAACGCTATTTCCAATTTAACGCTATTTCCATTTAAACGCTATTTCCTGTTATTTCGAATTTAACGCTAATCGAATTAGACGCTATTTCCAGTTAACGCTATTTTTAATTTAACGCTTTTTTCAATTTAACGCTATTTCCAATTTAACGCTTTTTTCGATTTAACGCTATTTCCGATTTAAAGCTATTTCCGATTTAACGCTATTTCCAGTTTAACGCTATTTCCGATTTAACGTTATTTCCGTTTTTACGCTATTGCGAATTTAACGCTATTTCCAGTTTAACGCTATTTCCGATTTAACGCTATTTCCGATTTACCGCTATTTCTAATTTTAACGCTATTTTCCATTTAACACTATTTTCAGTTTAACACTCTTTTCAGTTTAACGGTATTTTCAATTTAACGATATTTCCAGTTTAACGCTATTTCCAATTTAACATCATTTCCACTTTACCGCTATTTCGAATTTAACGCTATTTCTATTTTAACGCTATTTCCTATTTTACGCTATTTCGAATTTAACGCTATTTCCAGTTTAACGCTATTTCCAATTTACCGCTATTTCGAATTTAACGCTGTTTCTAATTAACGCTATTTCCAATTTAACGCTATTTCGAATTTAACGCTATTTCCAATTTAACGCTATTTCCATTTTAACGCTATTTCCATTTTAACGCTATTTCCAATTTAACGCTATTTCCAATTTAACGCTATTTCCAATTTAACGCTATTTCTAATTTAACGCTATTTCCAATTTAACGCTATTTCCAATTTAACGCTATTTCCAATTTAACGCTATTTCCAATTTAACGCTTTTTCCCATTTTACGCTATTTATAATTTAACGCTATTTCCAATTACGTTATTTCCAATTTTACGCTATTTCCAATGTAACTATTTTCAGTTTTACGCTATTTCCAATTTTCCGCTATTTTCAAATAAACGTTATTTCGAAATTAACGCTATTTTCCGTTTAACGCTATTTTCAGTTTTTACACTATTTCCAGTTTAACGCTATTTCCAGTTTAACGCTATTTCCAGTTTAACGCTATTTCCAGTTTTACGCTATTTCCAGTTTTACGCTATTTCCAGTTTTACGCTATTTTCAGTTTTACGCTATTTTCAGTTTAACGCTATTTCTAGTTTAACGCTATTTCTAGTTTAACGCTATTTCTAGTTTAACGCTATTTCCATTTTATACGCTATTTCCAATTTAACGCTATTTCCAATTTAACGCTATTTCCAATTAATCGCGATTTCTAATTTAAGTCTATTTCCAATTTAACGCTATTTCCAGTTTTTCGCTATTTCCAATTTTTCGCAATTCCAATTTTTGCGCCATTTCTAATTTTGCGCAATTTCCAATTTTGCGCCATTTCTAATTTTGCGCCATTTCTAATTTTGCGCCATTTTTAATTTTGCGCCATTTCTAATTTTGCGCCATTTCCAATTTTGCGCCATTTCCAATTTTGCGCCATTTCCAATTTTGCGCCATTTCCAATTTTGCGCCTTTTCCAATTTTGCGCTATTTCGAACCTTACGCTATTTCGAATCTTACGCTATTTCGAACGTTACGCTATTTCGAACGTTACGCTATTTCGAATTTCTCTTTATTTCGAATTCGCCGAGAGTTCGAATACCTTAATATCTCGAATAGCTCCAATACACCCATATCTCGAACTTGCCGAATTTATAATTTGTACATTGAATTTCTGGATGACATGAATTTCTTAAACTTTTTTCCTGGTAAATTATTTAGACCGGCTGTTCGTTACGGAGAGCGGGGCAATTCTATTTTACATTGAACTATCTCGCTTGAGTGGCGAAGAACGAGAAAAGTTGTGATTTATATATGGTGGTAGTCAATATGTATCTCATTTCCCCTACTCTTTATTCGGGAAGTCTCTCAAGTAAAATGGCTCCATGAAAATATTTTATTTTAAAAGCGAACGATTCTAGATCGAGAAAGTATGAATTTGTTAATTGGTATTGTATCGAACAACGTGAACACAGAGATTCGTGGCCAAATATTTTGAAATGTGTGTACATTTATTACGGTGGGTAGATGAGAGATTTAATATTAAATGAATTAGAGTAATTAGGGAGTTATCATACGATTGCTTGCATGTACGGTTGCTGTGGTTGAAGGTAGGGCGAGAGTGTCTTAGATGTAAGGGTCTGAATTTCACGTTTTCATAAAACAAGCGCGTGTTCCTGCTGATCATTGCATTACTTCGAATGTTGTTCTTAAATTATAGAACGTATAGGCTAATAATTTGTTTTGAGTGAGATTAAGGGTGAGAGGTGAGATGAAAGGGAATGAAATTGAGGTTGAGTGTGACTGAGAGTAGGGTTGAAGATTGGTCTGAATGTGGAAGTGAGTGTGAGGGTTTGGGGCTGAGTTTGAGGCTTGGAGCAGTAAGGGGGATTGTGGCTTGGGGCTGAGAATGAGATTGAGGCTTGGGACTGAGAGTGAGATTGAGGCTTGGGTCTGAGAGCGAGATTGAGGCTTGGGACTGAGAATGAGATTGAGGCTTGGGACTGAGAATGGGATTGAGACTTGGGGCTGAGAGTAAGATTTATGGTTGGGCTGAGGGTGAAATTGAAGGTTATAGCGGAGAGCGAGATCTAGGCTAGGGGCTGAGAGTGTGGTTGAGGGTTGGGGCAGAGAATGAGATGGAGGGTTGGGTTGATAATGTTGAGAGAGTAGCTGAGAGGTTGAAGAATGGTCCGAAAGTAGAATTGAGAGTGAATTGAGGGTAGAGCTGCCGACGTTGAGAGAGTGGGCGTGAGTGGCGGTCTAAAGCGAGCGCGTGTTGCCTGCGCAGGGCGGAGCGGCGCCCAAGCTGTCGGCCAAGACGAAGGCGATGGCTGCTGCTGCCGCCGCAGCCAAGAAGCCTGCCAAGAAAGCGGCGGTCGTCGTCAAGACTGTCAAGGTCGTAAAGGTTCGTCTACCGCACCGCATACCTCCAAACCCAACAAGCTATTTCGCCATTTTTTATTTGTTTTTTTTTATTATTTAAGTTCGCATCAACATCTAGGTCATCAGCGACCACTATCGGTTTCAACGATATGGGTAACTGTGAACTAGATGAAATGATATGGTGGTGATGTAGTTTGAGAGGGCAAATAGAAATACCATGCCCGAACCTGCGATCCTTCGGGCCGAGATCACTACGGCACTACTGTCTTAGCGATCTCGGCTACCGGATCGGGTTTTTAAATATTGAGTTTAGGCTTGCTCTGGAAAAAGAAGGGGTAGAATCGCTAGAAGTGAGGGAAACTTTTTAGAGGCTTGTAAATCATGATATCGTTCCTTGATAATATTTTTTTATTTATTTGTGGAGAATAATATTCTTACTTTTTACTTCGTATCGGAGAAATCACAGCTGACCAATTAGTATCAGGCCAACTTTAATAATGTGATCCTCTCCTATCCAGTGCATTGTTAAAAATTTTATCAGGAAAAATAATAAAAAATGCACTTGGAAATTCGGAATACTGAAATTTAGCCTAGGATACGAGTGGTCATCCTGATAGAGGTATGTAGGAATGGGTAATTCATTCAATATAATGAATATAATACTCTTAAAGAATGTCTTTTGATCTCTTTGAACTTGTGTTCATTCAGTTTCAGTTGTTTTGTAGTTCTATTAATGTAATGGACATAAGGTAACATAACTAATGAAAAAGAAATATACTGGGAATTGGGAGAGTCGTGGAAATTTCTTGCATGTTGAAGATCGACTTCTCTGTATTGTCAAATCGATACTTCGCTGGTTTATCGAACATAACATTGATGTAAGAATAAGTGCGAGCATAAGCAGGAGTTCCCCCTGTAGCTGAGTTACCTTCGGCATTGCGGTGTGTGTGAATGTGTGTGTTTGTGCCGCAGGTGAAGGTGGTGAGCAGCAAGGCGGCGAGACGGCCTCACCCGAAGCGGCCACCGGCGCCCAAGAAGTCTCCGCCTCACTCGCAGCCCACCACCGCCACCGCCGCCACCACAACCTCCATCACCACCGCGACCACCACTAAGTCTTCGGTTTATTCGTATTTCAATAAATCGTCATGATATCCATGATGTCTTGATTACTTGAAATCTTCATTTCCTTGATTTCTCGCTTTTCTTGGTATCTCTATTTCCCTCATATTCTATTTCATTGATATCTGGAGGTTCTTGTTATATCGGTATCCTGATACGATTTCCTTTTAAGTCTAGTTTTGAAGAGTTTGGTGGTAAAACATGGTAAACGATGTTGGTTGCCAATGCGCGCCATCGTTCGCGAGAATACAAGGAAGAGAACATTTTTTGCTGGAAGGGATTTAAACGGAGTACATAGGGATTACAATATATTCGGAGGAGGCTTAATTTGGACAATTTGAGAAATCAGTGCACGGTAAAAATTGAAGCGGAAAGTGCAGATGGTGTGTCAGCGTAGTGATAGACGGCCAATTTGCGACAAAAAAAGTACATTATGAACGACGTGTAAGGGGGGTTATATATCACGTGTGGTGATATTACTATAAGGGGTGGAACGCCGGTGCATCAGAAAGTTAACACGAATACCCATTAAATCGAGTTCATACGATACTTTTTTTTTTACGACTTACGGTGACGTTTATAAGGTAACTTTTACATTGAATCGTTCCGTGCAGTTGACATGCAGGGTTGAACCAAGGACACCTAGCGGACAGCTCCCAAACATTAGTCTTGTCGCAGGTGGATTTGGTTACCAGTCTGGCCTGCGAGGGAGTACTGGCTTAGTCAAATAGGATCAAAGTGAAATTACGATCCAATTTATTTTAAATAATATTCCACGAGAAATTACTACTAATAAATAAATTTTACTCTGACAAGCAATATATTAAATGCAATTTTTATGTTGCAGTGGAACGAAACATTTACTAGAAACGATTCTCAATCTTTAATTAAGTTTCAGTAATTGGTTTGTAAACTTCGCTGTGATCGGTCAAAGTACATGTATCATATGAAATTCTGTATCGTAATGACTATCATTATGCAACGGGTTGGTGCATCAAATGACAGAATTATTCAATGGATGTTGAAAAAAGACAGTCAACTCCGGTTATAATGAACTTCTGGGGCGAACATTTTTGGTCACTATATCCGATGATATCAAAATTAAATAAGAATTTACACAATGGTATATTTTTTAACACAGAGATGTAGAAAAATGTTTTAACAGTTTCGGTCTCAACTGAAATTTCAATACCTTTATTTGTCCGTAAAAAATAATTATTTCAATTGCTTGCTTCGGACATTTTTCATTAGTAATTTCTGAAGATTATAGTACAGAGGTCGTGCTCTCTCCATATTGACACTGCATTGTACTTTGTCTCTTAGTATAATAATGCAGTTCTGACACCCTTCAATATACTCTTACAATGTGGGAACACCGCCCCGCTCTCCGACGGTCCTTACTAATAACATACAAGATACAATAAATTTCCACGACTTATTTCTTTGGTTTCTGTAGCCGAGGTTCAGATTCACTGTAATCGAATATTCTTAAGTGTATGTTTGTAAGTTGTTTTGTAATGCAAGTGAAACGGGTCTAGCGACTTAGTTCACTACAGGTAGATTAGATTTATTACTAATTCTGTATTAAGTTTGAGAATTGGTGTCAGAATACACCAACTAACATTACAGAACTTTACAAGCTTACCAAAATTTACAAACTTTACAAATTAAGTGAGCATTTCACCGTGCAATCTTTCATAGAACTCCACTCACCAACTTCACTTCACGCACTGCGAATCACAGAGCTGTTATAATCTTTTTTAGCATTCACTTCCTTCGGTTTACAAAGCCACTCACTACACATAATTATTACTAATATTAATCACAATATAATAATTATACAAGTAGACGTAGTTACTTACACTGAATAATATTAAAGATATTTATAATACACGTATCAACATTCAGGAAACAAATTTATTTTTAAATTTGCCTCAGCTTGTGAGAAAGGGTTCGAAGATTGTTACAAGACAAACCGTTCCAGTCTCTAATAGTTCGGATTTGCAAATGAATAATTTCCCAACGTCCATTTTCTCTGCCTTCGTGTCTTGAATTTTGTGCATGATAATTGATGTTTCACTGTAGCGAAGTGCACTGTAACAACCGAGTTCACTATAGCCGAGTTCACTATAGCCGAGTTCACTATAGCCAGTCACTATAGAGTCACTATAGCCGCTCCTATAGCTGAGTTCTATAGCCGAGTTCTTAATAGCCGAGTTCTCTATAGCCGAGTTCTCTATAGCCGAGTTCTCTATAGCCGAGTTCTCTATAGCGAGTTCTCTATAAGCCGAGTTTCTATAGCCGAGGAGTTCTCTATAGCCGAGTTTCTATAGCCGAGTTCTCTATAGCCGAGTTCGCTATAGCCGAGTTCGCTATAGCCGAGTTCCTGTAGCCGAGTTCGCTATAGCCGAGTTTTGCCTATAGCCGAGTCCGCTATAACGAGTCCATTTATATACGGAGTCGATTGTAGTATTTAAGAGTGCTATTGCGCGTGTGCGTTTGCAGCCCCTCCGTGCGCGCTCGGAGCCGTCCCCGGCGGGCAGCGCGGCGGAGGCGTCCGGGGCGTCGCCGGGGTGGGGCGCGCGCCCATGTCGCCGCCCGCCAGCGCGGGCGTGTGCGCCGCCGCGCCGAGCGTCGTCCGTCCCCGGCGCCCTCGCGCGCGCGGGCGGCGCCGCCGCTCCGCCTCCGCAAGCCACACGCGCCGGCCGGCCGCGCCGCGTCGTCGCATTCGGCGCGCCGAGGACTCGTCCTCGCCCTCGCGACGAGATCCGCTCGACCTGTCATGCTGCCGCAGCAACGGTGGCGGCGCACGCAGATGCCCGAGAACCAGGTGAGCAGCTCGCGAATTCGAACGATGCACTTACAAGGACGCATGTTAAATTTAAGGCACACATGAAAGTTAGAAAAGCTCTTGTCAACTTTATGGTCATATGTGGAATGAAGAAATGATCCCAATGATGGTGATTGTGAATGTGCGAAATGAATGATGAGCGGTAGGGGAAACGGGAAAATCTTTACATTAAATCGATACATTAATGCAATGTGCAAATACAATGTGCCAGGCAAGTCCTCTCCTTGCTCATGGGCTCTTAACAACAGATTTTATGCTGGTAGCACGATCCGCAGTTTGTTGCAAACAAAACGTAATTGTAATACTCAGCTACAGTCGTAACAGATGCTGGGAGTGTTACGCTTCACTTGTTTCCCTGTGATACGATTGGGCTGACAACATAAATGCAATTTGTAATAGGAGGTCCTGTGTCGGCTCAGAGCGGAGAACTTTCCTGGCGCTCTTACTTTGTCTGTCCGGGAAGCGGCTCCCTAGGCAAAATTGCGACCTTTCGGTCGCCATTTGCGACATTCCTCAGGGGCGAATCGGCGAAACGCATCTCTCAGTCCGAATGCATTTCGTCTTAACAGAATGGCAACCGAAACATTAGCATCTGTGCGAGGAGTAGCTTAAAGAATTTTACCGCGGCAGCGAACGCATCTCTTCTCCATGGCGAACGAATTTCGCGGAACGAATCAGTTCGCGACGCAACCCTTGTGAGGGCAGGGGTGCATGCATATGAGTGTGTGCATGCATATGTGCGTATTGTCGCTGCAGCGACGCGCAATGAGTAGCTTAACGAATGCCTCGCGGCGAAAACGCATCTCTTCGTAAACGGCGAAGATCATTCGCAGAACGAATCTCCCCGCGGCAGCGAACGCTTATCTTCGGGCAGCAAAAGATAGTCCACGGAACGAATCTCCCGCGGTAGCGAATGCATCTCTTCGCGACTACGAACGATCCTCCGCGGAACGAAACTCCTCGCGGCTGCGACTCACTCTTCGCAACGGCGAACGATCTTCCGTGGAAACGAATCTCCCCCCGGCGGCGAACGTATCGCGACTACGAACGATTCCCCGCGGAACGAATCTCCCCGCGGCAGCGCAGTATATTTTCGCGACTACGAACGATTCTCCTAGGCGCGAATCTCCCCGCGGAAACGACAGGCATTCTTCGCGACTACGAACGTACCTCCGCGGAATGAATCTCCTCCCGGCAGCGAACGATCGTCTACGGAACGAATCTCCCCGCGGCAGCGAACACATCTTGGCGACGGGCGAACGAATCCGTTTGCGCACGCAACACTTGTTGAATACTGCGCGAGTGCATGTGTGTTTGTGTTTTTTGCAGCGAGAACGCGCGGCAGCAGCCTGAAGGAGGAGGACCAGGCCTCCCCGGCGACGCCGTCGACCGCCGGCGCGGGGGCTGCTCCTCTTCACACCGGCCGCCCCTAGCGCACCGGCTGCCTTCGGCCGCGGGGGCGGTGCGGGCAGCTCGGACGAGGACGGCGCGCCGCTGATGCTGCGCGCTCGCGCGCTCACCGCTGCCACGCACGCGCCGTGGGCGCTCGAGCGCGCGCGCCGCGCCGCGCTGCGGCGGGCGGCGGCCGCCTGCGGGCCGCAGGACATCAAGAAGGAGGCCCCCGACGACGACACTCCACCACCCACCATCACCACACACGCGCCTCCGGGGGATGCCCGCCTCGCGACAGGTCAGCGCCTTTCGCGTTTGCAACGAATTACAACGACAGTCAACATTATTATTATTATTATTATTATTTTATTATTATTATTATCTACTATTATTATTATTACTATTATTTATTTATTTTTTGGTTATTTAAGTCGCATCAACTACTAGGCATTAGTGACCACTATTGCTTGTAACGGTATGGTAACTGTGGGTTGACACGATAATGATGATGATAGGGGTGGTGAAAAGGACGACACAATACAACCATGCCCGAGGCGGGACTCGAACCCGGGATCCTTCGGTCCGAGTTCGCTACGGCACTACTGCCTTAGCGATCTCGGCCACCGGATCGGCATTACTATTATTATTACTATTATTATACTATTATTATTACTATTATTATTATTATTATTATTATTATTATTATTGGCGTATCGGTCACTATTGACCACGCTACACGATTAACGTGTGTAATTTTACCAGGATTAGCTTTTTAGCTGTATCCTCAGTACGTAAGGTTGTTACGCCTTCAAGTGTTAATTATGAGATGATAGAATGATGATGAGGGGTGAAGGGACTATCACGTATAAGACCATGTCTACGCAGGATAAAACTTGCAGCCTCCTCGGCGTAGACAACGGCTGCCCCAGTCTATGCCACAAGGTCTACTATAATGCTGTTGTTGTTATTATTAATATTATTATTACTATTATTTTTGTTATTATTAATACCGAGAGAAGTGGTTCAGTGCATAGTGCACTGACTGCGTAATCGGGAAGGACCGGGTTCGATCCAGGATGGCCGGCCATCGTGACGGCGTTTTCGTGGTGTGCTTCGGTCAATACAATGAAATGCTGGGATGGTTCTCAAAAGGCCACGATCGCCTCCGATCATCATTCTATCGCCTGATGATTCGTTAATTCAGGCTTAGCAACCTTGTTTTACCTAAGATACCGCCGAAAGGCTGATTCCTATAATGACACACGAATGTCTCTCCGGAGTTCAATACAACAATGCTCGTGGCGGGTCTCGAACCGCGATCCCTCTGTCCGAGATCGCTAAGGCAGTACGCCTTAGCCTTCGGCCATCCGGAGAAATCGCATAGTTTTTTTTTATTCAACTTTCACACATTTAATTTTTTTTCGGAGGCGGAGGGGATGTCGTTTCAGCATTGCCCCGGACCCTGAATGTACTGCTTAGCGATCTCGGCCATCCGGACCGAGACGCAATATGGTTTCTTCATTCTACTTTGACACATTTAATTTTCGGGGTAGTGGGGATGTTGCTTATATCTGTCCTCTCCGCACTGGACCCCGCCTCGTGTTTGTGGCAGGTGAAGGAGGACCTGCTGGAGGACGAGCAGCTGAAAGCTTCCGCCCTGCGGACGCGGCACCGCGGCGCACGCCCGCCGCCCTCCACCCCGCGGGCCCGCCCGCGCCGCACCCACGGGACCCGGCTCCGCTGCAGCCGCGCGTGCAGCCGCCGCCGCGGCCGCGGCCGCCCTCAAGGAGGACTGTCGGACGAGCGCGAGCTCAAGGACACGAGCGAGGAGTCGGACGGCGAGCGCCCGCCCGCGCCGCCCGGCCCAGACACAGCCGGCCACGCGGCGGCGCCGAGCGGCCTCGCCGCCAGCAGCGCAGCCATCGCGCCAGGTGCGGACGCTGGGCCTCGCAGCGGGCCGCTCGCGCGGCTGAAGTTCGCTTGCTCTCTTCATCGCGAAGCCTTTTTCTCATAGTCCTCTTGCTCTCTTTGTCTAAGCCTGCTTCTACATCTTAAAGTATTTCATCCGCTCTCTTCCTTCTAACGTCTGCTCTCTTCTTCTAACGTCTGCTCTTTTCTTCTAACGTCTGCTCTTCATTCTAACGTCTGCTCTCTTCCTTCTAACGTCTGCTCTCTTTCCTTCTAAGTCTGCTCTCTTTCTTCTTAACGTCTGCTTCTTCTTCTAAGTTGCCTTCTTCTTTACAGTTGTCTCTTTTCTTCTAAAGCCCTGTCTTTTCTCTAAGCTCTTCTCTGCTTAAGATTTTTTCTCGTCCTAAAGTGTCTCTCTTCAACATAATGTCTGAACTCTTCGTCGTAATGTTGCTCTCTTTAGCTCAGAATATGTTATCTTCATAATGTCTGCTCTCTTCATTGTCAGTCTGCATCTTAAGTATTTTTCTTCGTCATAAAGTAGCTCTCTTCATCGTCAAGTCTGCTCTTTCCGTAAAGCTCCTATCTGTATCGTAAAGGCTGCTCTTTTCTTCGTAAATCTACTCTGGTATCTTGAGGTCTGTTTTCGTCATCACTGTCGCCAATTTTTAAGAAAATTTTGAGCGAACTTATTAAAAAATTATGACTCTGAAAGAAATGTATGAAATTTCCAAAGAATAATATTTGTGTAATAAGACCTTTTTATATTTCCTTAATGCTCGGTTGCTCTATTTTCAAAACTCGAATGTTCCAGCAATACAAACAGTTTCTTTATAATATTCTGTTGTAAGATTTCTTAGCGTCCAATGTAGATATTTCTGAAGTATACAATTTTTTTTAACTCCGTCTGCACTGCCTAGTTTTTATCTATACGGGCAAGAGTAAAACTGCGCTGAGAATATTACTTGTAGTGTTGGAAGTATCAGTGACGTTGTGTTTCTTTGAGTTTAAGCCGTAAGTTTCGAGAAATATGGTTGTAGCGACAATGTAGCGCTTTAAAAGAAAACTAGTCGGTGATTTTCGGTCATTGTATTTCTACGTTTTTATCATTACGCTCATAGCTGCCAAAATTTAAAAAAAAAATATATGCTCTTAAGAAAACTATTCAAGTAGGCATCGCATAATATTTTTAAAAAATAATACGTATTTTATTAATGCAATCTTAATTTTTAAATTATGGATTAAATTGTTTTTTTATAACGGTATTTGTGCAGTACAAGTGAACAAACTGTTTGATAGTGAACTTTGATTCTTACATAGAATATATTATTTTATGTACTTGTTAACTTGTTACTTTTTTTATTTACTATTTTGCCATTCCGTATACTCGTATTGTTTGTGGGCGATTTCCCCGAGCCCAAATCAGACGTCGCTCGACCCTGGAGGTGTGCGTGGGTATCAACCCGCTGCGCAGCGACGGAGGCTATTTCATCACTTCGCTTATCTCGTTAATTGCTCTGGAAAGTCGCCCTTTCCCAACACTCTACACGGGAACCGATTTTCCGGAAGGGGTCGACGACATTCGCAAAAGCACTCAGATTCTGCAAGTATATCACTTAGAAAGAAGGTTTGACACAGGAGATTTTTTCGGGTGTGTTAATTTCAAAGGTTACGTTCCACCTTTGGGTTCCGTTTTGGCGTCATTGCTCTTTGTATAAATTCCGTGCGTTGATTCTAAATTCAACGACGATCCAGAGCGCTTTTGCACCAGTGTAGTAAACATTGTATTGTATACGGGCATAAACCACTTTCCGAGCCTCTGCGTATGCACGGGGGAAGTTATGATAGGCTACTAAAGACGATAGTTATACAGGCGTGCACAGCGCTAAATCAAGAAGAGGCCAACACTTTTTCTGGGCTCCTTTATCCATTCAAGTGTTTAATTTACGTATAATCTTTTTAGCCGATTTTTTGAATTTTGAACGTGTGTTTGGAGGCAGTTGTACAAGGAATATAGTCTCTGAAAATTGCGGATTATTTTGAGGGTAGTTTCGTAAGCTTTTTTTAAGCTGTTTTTAACATTTCTTTTAAAAAAATTGACGGCATTTCTAAGGGTTCTATGTATTCGATATCCGATTGGCTCCTTTTTTATGGATAACTGAAAATTGTTACAGATTTTTATTATATATGGTTATTTCTCATTAAAAAATGAGTCAGGTAAAAACATCGAAAACTAATATTGACCATGGAAAACAACATTGGCTTCAAAACATCGATGTTAATAATTCATCGATTTTATAAACCTCGATGCCGCATCCCTATACTGCGATTTTCTCAACTCTGCTCTCTGCAGGTATCAGCTTTGACAATTTCATCCAATCGGAAGCTTGAACATCTCCATGTTGACATTCAAGCTCCCGATTGGATGACATAGTGAGTTCAAGCTCCGATGAATGATATCTGCCGAGGGCAGCACGTGCGAAAATCGCAATGTAACGAGCGTTTCATCAATCGGGAACTTGCAACGTCACATAGGGACGTCACTATTGTCAGATTCAATTCTCCGATTGGATGAAACCGTCAACAGCTGATACTGCAAGGGGCAGCGTTCCATATATGGGGTTGAATAATAAATCAATACAAAATAATAAATTTGTTATTATGTTGATATTTTTTAAATAATTACGTAATTCATCATAAATATGTCAATCGCTTTGCAGGGAAAGGAAACTTTAGACCTTGGGGACACCAGACTGACCTTATCCTGTCGTGTCGCAGGTCGGGCGCCGGCAACGCGTCGACGGCGGTCGGCGGGCGGCCTCCTCAAGCAGGAGTCTGCGTCGGAGGCGGACGCCGAGGACGGGGGCGCGTCGGAGGAGGAGCGGACGCGGCGCGCCGCCCGCCGCCGTCCCGCCCCGGCCACGCCGCACGCGGCGCGGCGGCGCCGCGGCCAAGCGCGGCCGCGCGCCGCGGCGCTCGGGTGCGTCTTCCTCACCGGCGCGACGCCGCGGCTCCGCCCGCAGCCACTCGGGCTCTGCTCCGGCTCGGGCTCCGCGGGCTCCGGCTCGGGTCCGGCGGCGAGCGCTCCACGGCACCAGGTACGAACGCACTTCCATGTCTTTTACGTACCAGGTATAGTAATAATAATGATGATGATGGTGATAATGATAATAATAATAATAATAATAATAATAATAATAAATATAAA